ATATAACAGTGAGTTAAAAGAAAGTCCCTGTTTTCCCAAAAGTGAGAATTCTCACAAGAATATAAGTGCCATGGCTCTCTAACAGAGTTAGCCCTTCTCAACATTATTTTTAAATATATCAGTCTCCCACATTATACTGTGAATTTCTTTCCTTCTTTCTTTCTTTATTTGAGAGAGAGAGAGAGAGAGAGAGCAGGGGGAGGGGCGGAGTAAGAGGAAGAGAGAGAATCTCAAGCAGACTCCACAGTGAGCACAGAACCAAAAGCAGGGTTCGATCTCAGGACCCTGAGATCATGACCCAAGCTGAAACCAAGAGTCAGGGGCTTAACTGACTGAATTTCTTAAGGACAAAAGTTTGTCTTTTTCATTTATATATCCTTGGTATCCAGCCCAGTGTTTCTCATACAGTAAGCACTCACTAAAACATTGTCCAATGGGTGAAGGAAACTATTTCACAATAAAATGTATAAATATTTAAATATTTCCTTAAGTAAATGCAGGTTCTTTTAAAGTTGAGGTTAAAAAAGAAAAAAGAGGGACGCCTGGGTGGCTCAGTCAGTTAAGCATCTGCCTTCGGCTCAGGTCATGATCCCAGGGTCCTGGGATCAAGTTCCGCATTGGGCTCCTTGCCCAAGGGAGCCTGCTTCTCTCTCTGCCTGCTGCTCCCCCTGGTTGTGCTCTCTCTCGCACGCTCTCTCTGACAAATAAATAAAATATTTTTAAAAATTTAAAAAAAGGAAAAAGAAAATAAAACAGTTCTGTGGTGATAACAAAAAATGACTAATGTCAAATCAGCAAAATTTAATTAAGACAAAAGAAGAGTATATCAAAATTTTAATCAGCATTTTAAAAAGAAATCAAATGCAATTGCAAAGTTAAAAAAGACACAACTCCCAACTCTTTAATTTTTTTAAAATCAATGACACAGCAAATGTTAGATTCATATGTACGAGATCTTAAGGATTCACAGAATGTCAAGTTGCACGAACTTTACAGGTTGCCTGGTGCTGTCCTTTTATGTAATCTTCATTCCTATGGAGGTGCTTTCCTGTTCCTAGGAAGCATTCCTTTAATGTGAATTCCATTTAGCATTTCCATGTAGGTAAGATTATCAGTGAACTGCCTCTCTGGGACTTCTGGGCAAAATCAGCGGGCTAAAATTATCATTCCAGTGAGTGAGAAGTAGGGTGAGGGGCTGCTTTGGTCTTCTCAAATCTAAAGCAGCACTTATAGCTTCTCCAGCTAAAGCAATTCTTCCTGAGGGGAAAGTCCGATCTGATTCTATTTTGAAACTTCAGCAACAGGACTCCCGTGACTTTGCCCTTCAAAGAGCCTCTGTAAAGCTAGCTGCTACAACTGTGGGACGAGAAGCCTGGACTCCCAGGCACAGAGAAAGCAATCTAAATGTCAACTGTCAGTGGGCAGAGGAAAATGGGGACTGGGGAGGACTTAGTTTTATTTCACAATATCAATATCACATCAGTTTTGTTTCTTTTTTCCTAGTTCTCCTGAAAGAGAGCTTTCCAATTCCTTCCAACGTGTGAACCCCAACCTCTACTTTCTTACAGGCTGCGACATTTGGGTTCTAAATAAAGAGGAACAAATCAATGTCTGACCATCACTCAAACAGTCCCACATATTAGCGTTAAGAATGGCAGCAGTGAGGGCCCAGCCTCACAGCAGAAACATGCTGAGGTTCTCAGGGTGACTCTCACATGAATCATGGGTTCTGGGGATGCCCGCTTCCCCAGCTTAGGACCAAGGGGCTGAGGGACAACATTAGACTTAAATCACAGTCCACACCGCATGTTTTATAAGGTGGGAGGATGTAGAATCTGGAAACCTGGAGACTGTACATGTAAGGGGGAAGAGAAAGAATGAATGTTTATACCCTCTAAATATTACACGTGCAGGAATGCTTATTTCCTTAGAATTTTTTCTAATCTTTAATTATGGCAAAATACACAAACCAGAAAATTTGCCATCTTAACCATTTAGAAGTGAAAAGTTCAGAAAAAGTACATTAACACTGTTATACAACCAATCTCCAGAACTGTTTTCATCTTGCAAAACTGAAACTCCAAACCCGTTAAGAAGTGCTCCATTTCTCCCTCCCCACAGCCCAGGGCAACCACCCTTCCGCATTCTGTCTCTATAGATCTGACTACTCTAGATACTTCATCTAAGTGGAATCCTACAGTATGTCTTTTTGTGACTAGATTATTTCACTTACCACAATGTCTTCAAGGTTCATCTATGTGTTAGCATGTGTAGAATTTCCTTCCTTTTTAAGGCTGAATAACGTTCCATTGTAAGTACATAGCGCATTTTGCTTATGCATTCATCTGCTGATAAACACTTGGGTTGCTTCCACCTTTTGGCTATTGTGAATTATGCTGCTATGAACATGGGCATACAAATATCTCTTTGAGACTCTGCTTTCAAATCTTTTGGATAAATACCCAGAAGTGGGATGGCTGAATCACATGGTAATTCTATTTGTAGTTTTTTTGAGAAACCACCATAATGGTTTCCAGAGTGGCTGTGCCATTTTATATTCCCACCAACTACATCCTTGCCAATACTTGTTATTGTCTGTTTTTCTGATAGTAGCCATACTAATGATTATGAGGTGGTTCCTTAGTAATTTTTCTATTTTCTATACTATCCCTGTATTATCTTATTTGGAGAAAATTCAGTGAAATACATTCAATCATTAAAAGTGATCATGCAAACATATTTATTAATAGAAAAAGATCTTTACCCTATAGTCTAATTTTCTTTTAATATGCAAGTTATTGTAAGAGTTATATGAGACTATGTATACTATCACCTCTGTTTGGGGAAATACATATAAACATATTAATAGAAATGTTTTATACAGACTTAGTGGAATGTGGAAAGGAATATAAAAATAATAAACCAGAATGTTAACAGTAATTATCTCCGGATAGTGGTAACTTAAGTGATCTTAGTGTTTTTTCTATTTACTTTCTGATTTTTACCCAATGAATATGCATGCCTTCTATAACGAATAATAACAATACAGGGGGTTAACCTTGTAAGTAGGTTGGGAATCATCAGGTACCTAAATTACTGTGGGCAGCCATGGTGCTTTGGCCATGAACTACCACTCAAATGTCTAAGAACACTCAAGCCAAAACAGATCAACTATAATCCTATTGTATAAATTCTACTTTTATTCCCTAAGTGCTACGAGGGCTCTATTTGGCTAATATGATAGGGGCTAAAATCTGGAAGATACTGTAATTTGCCATCTATATCCTATAGCCCCAGAATCAAGAAAGAAGAGACCTTCAAAACATCCCGTCTCTGGACGTTTCTTTCTTGATCCATCACTTTTGTTCTGGCTTCACTGTCCACCCATTCAGCTGGACCCTGGATTAGTCTTTGGAGAAATGGATTCACTACACACAGGCTTCCTTTTACTTTCTCTAATGGCACATGACCTCTCCAAGAAAGGGCCAAGGGAAAAAACTACGAGAGAATATAAATTGACCCTTTTCTTATCAATTTTTAAACAATTCTCAATTGCCTGCTGAGCTAGGGACATCACCCTCAGTCCTCCATTCAAAGTTCTCCATTATATAGTCTCATTTTACCTCTCCACTGAGTTCCCAACTAAACTCCAATGAACACTAACGGTTCTGAGAAGTTACACGTGGGTTTCTAGAAGGCTGAAGTAGGAGGTAAGCAGTCAGGACCCCAGGCTTCAACCAGAGCAGCCCCACTTTTACCTAACAATGGAAAATCGTTTGAGAAGTTATGATGCACAAAGAAGACAGAACCTTATTCAGCCATTAAAAACTACATTTCAGAAGAATATTCACTGATAAAGAAAATGTTCATGGGGCGCCTGGGTGGCTCAGTCGTTAACTGTCTGCCTCTGGCTCAGGTCATGATCCCAGGGTCCTGGGATTGAGCCCCGCATCAGGCTCCCTGCTCGGCGGGAAGCCTTCTTCTCTCTCCCACTCCCCCGCTTGTGTTCCTGCTCTCGCTATCTCTCTCTCTGTCAAATGAATAAATAAAATCTTTAAAAAAAAAAGAAAAGAAAAGAAAAGAAAATGTTCATGATGTTAAATGCTATATGCAGTATTGTCCAAATTCTTATATATTCTAAGTATGTAACAGACCTAGGAATAAACGTTTCGAGAGGAAACACATCCCAGTGTAAATCATGCTTATGTAAGAATGACAGATCTGTGGGTGCCTTTTAAATTTTCTCCCTTCTATTAATAATCATTTTTAAACATGTTTATGTAATCTGTGCTTTTAACATTTTTTTAAATAGCTCTTTTAAAAAAAAGGATTCCCTTTCTTTAAAAAGATTGTTCCTGAAAGCCTTTGCTCTGCATTTCTCCCTTTCTAAAGCACAGAAAGTGACTGATCAAACCTTACTTACTCACCTTTGCCAGAGACTTCCCAGACTAACATCTGGTGGTTGCATGCAGAGAGAGAAACAGGATAGGCTGCCTGCCCCAGAGGTTTCAAATACAATGAAATCAAAATCGGGGGGGCGGGGAGAGCAAACAAGCAATATCCCTTCAGGCAAGATGCATATGCCACTGTCTCCCCGTTGATCTTTACCAATAATTCTCGAGTTACCTGCCTTAAAAAGTCCTTCACAGTTAATATCAGCAAACTGCCAACAACTTGTAAAAGGCAAAAACCAAGAAAATCTAAGCAAAGAGAAAGAACATGCGTTTTGTCAATACTAACAGCTGGCAAGGAGTGCTTAGCTTTTTCCAAACATCAGAGATCTCCTTGTAGACAAGACATTTCTACTAAATCTTTTTTTTTAAATTTTTTTATTGCTATGTTAATCCCCATACATTACATCATTAGTTTTTGATGTAGTGTTCCACGATTCATTGTTTGTGCATAACACCCAGTGCTCCATGCAGAACGTACCCTCCTCAATACCCAACACCGGGCTAACCCATCCTCCCACCCCCCTCTACTAAATCTTTAATGCTCACCAGGTGCTTTGCTTTGGCTCGTTCTTCTTCACTTGATATCCTCTCTCGAAGAATAGCTCTGGTTAACTGCTCATTAGCAAAAGCCCTCTCTCGGTCCAGTTCTTTGCCTTGCTTTAGTCTAAAAAGACAAGAAAGGACTAACTTAGAAAGAATTATTTTATTGATTATGATTTAATGAAAAACATGAATAAGAAGAGAAATGGCCAAAATCACCTTGACCTATAATTTATTAAAAGCGGGTATGTTTTCTAGTAAGTCCCCTGCAACCTCTACCCAAGCATTTAAAATAGCAGAATTCAAATCCCTGAAAAGTTATTGTTAGGACTGCTAAACTAGTTTTGCAAAGTTCTTCTTATGTAAAATTGAAATGTGCCCACCTAAAAATTCCATCCCTGGTGCCTCTGCTTGTCCTCTGGCGATACAAGCAATAAGTCTAACTAACAAGCCATCTACAAGACAAATATTTGAAAGTAACCATCATCTTCCCCTCAACACTGACTCATTCAACTCTTTGTTGAATACACACCAGCTGTTGGGTGAGGCACTCATGATACAGTGCTGAACAAGAAGGACGGGTCCCTGTCCTCATGGATCTTATATTACAGCAAGGAACTAAAAACATAATTAAGATGTCTTCCCTCCAGATGAATTACTCCCATTTTCTAACAATCCTCATATGCAAAAATGGCCAGACCTTTGAACAGCAGGGATCCTCACTTCTGGAATGACTCCAATTTGTCCCTTAGCCCCAGACCAAATGTAACACTGTGGACATAGTCTAGCAAAACAAGACAGCGGAACTTCACCTCCAAGATCTGTACACAATACTAATTCTTTTAATGAAGCATCTGACAGCACTGGGTTTATCAGTAACCTCATCACACAATTACGTCATATTAAGTTACAATCCACTAAAACCCCTCACTGTGCATGAAAAAGATAAATTACTTTGGCACCGATTTTCACCATAATGCCTGGCACATAAAGGCATTCAGTAATCACTGAATGAGAGTACATTTTAGTCTAATCTTATGGACAAAGATTTTCTGATTGCCTTTTCATCTCTTGAGAGAATAACCCCTCTATACCATCATATCCCCAAAGGTACAAGCAATGCTTTAAAAAGAAAAGGTAAAATTGCTATGTTGGTATAAGTGAAATTCTGAGTGAAATCTACTTTGTAAGTGGGAATGATGAGCACCAAACTGAATTCAATACTAGTCTATCAAATTTTAGTTTTAAAAAGGTTCTTGAACTAAAGAAAATAAAAACTTGTTACTATTTTTAAATTGCCACATCATCCAGATACTCTGAAATTCTCAGAAATCAATTACAACCAAATTTCATTATAATCAATTATAATTAAAAATATAATCAGAGGAGTGCCTGGGTGGCTCAGTCCATTGAGCATCTCACTCTCACGTCATAATCTCATGGGTCCTAGGATCAAGTCCTGAGTTGGGATCCCTGGTCAGAGGGGGTCTGCTTCAAGATTCTCCCCCTCTGCCCCTCCCTGCATTCTCTCACTCTCAAAAAAATAAATCTTTATATATATAAAATCAGAAATTACCTTGTGAAATATATTCCTAAAAAACTGAACCTGTGTTTTTATGTCTTGAATAAAGATGAATAATAGAAAAATATTAAAACCTACACTTTGAAATTCTCTAATGCAAAAGTAACCTCTAGAAACTTTTCCTTAAGCAGTAAGTATAATTACACTTACACAAACCAAATTTCTCCGTATTATTTCACAGTAAGTTCAGCAGCATCAATGCTATCAATACAGTAACTCAGTGGACGTGCATAATCTTAAAAGAACACTGATAATTAGAAGTCTCGTCATTTCTGCAGAGCAGCAGTTCTAAAAGTATACATAAATCAGCAGCAGCATCCGTGGGAACCTGTTAGAAATGCAAACACTCGGACACCACCCAGTCTACTGAATTAGAAACTGTGGCGGTAGTGCCCCATAAACTGCCTTTTAATAAGCCCCCCAGGTGATGCGAATGCATACTAAATAAAATGAGAGCCACAGCCCTCAATTAGCAAAATATACTTCTCCCCACGTAAATCCTGGAGATCTATAAAAGGAGAGTAACAACAAAAATGAAGTGGTCCACATAAGGATAGTGTGCTGGTAACTGTTGCGGTTACTATATCAGATTGCAAAACGGTGCAGTTAAAGCATTTTACTAGCATATCACCTGCAAGTAAAAGGTATTACCTAGGTTACAAGTCAGGTAGAAACTAAAATAAAATAATAAAAATTACTGTCATGCATAGATCACCTACTATATGCCAAGCACTGTGCTGGGGACTTTACATACAGATAGACAACTATGATAAAAATCACATTATTAGTTCATCAACATAAAATGAATGCTATACAACTCGATTTTCTCATATCTACCACATGTGGTATATCATCTTTTAAAGTATTGTTTATCTAATAATAACTACCTATTTTTTCTTAGTTTACTTGCATATGATATCAATTTTAATTACAAATGGAGTTAAAAGGGGCTCAACTTTAGAAGTTTTGGCAAGTTAATGAAAAAGAAGCAAAAACTTGAGCACAAAAGCCTTCAGTGTTATAATAAAAATAAAAATTATCAGTTTATAATAGCTGGTACAGATGCACAAACTTTGGAGTTGGGAGTCCTGGGTCCAAATCAAGGTTCTAGCACATACCAGCTGAGTCAATACTTGAGTTAATCTCCCTGGGTCTTGTTATTCTGAGTAAAATGAACCAGTATAATACCTACCTCACAGGGTTCTATATACACAAAGCACTTAGCATAAAGCACTCAACACTGTTAGGTGAAGTAGTAGTAATAACAACAGTACCCACTATGGGGTCAGGAATACAGAAAAAGCGGCAGTTTTCTGAAAAGAAGAAGAAAATCTCCAAGTTCACTAAATACACCATGACTATATATGCTTTGTCTTCTCCATCTTTTTTTCCAAGTTCTCACCAATAAGAAGCTCTACTTTATTTTTATTATCTTCATGGACTTCCAAAATCAAAAACTGACAATGACCTGCAGACCTATCCCTTCATATGCTCCTTCATTTCTTTCCCACTTGCCTAAATATATATATACACACACACACACATATATATCCTTACATATATATGTGCGTGTGTGTGTATATATATGTGGTAGGTAATAAATTCTTATTACCTATCAGCAACCTAGCTGTGCAATCTAACAAACCTGTTTTCTCAGCTTTAAAATATGATGGTTGAACCATGTAATTTTAAAGTCCCTTGCAGGTAAAAGTTTTACAAACAACATACATTAAATACATTATTCTCCATCCCATAAAAACTCTTGAGAAAGTTGGTGGCAGAAGATAAATGAAACAAATCTATCTCCAAATTTTATCATTTTCACTCAGTGGGCATTTACATTTCCAGTCTCATCCTTGGACTTTCCCACTACTTGATAAAAACTATGAACTAGGTAAGAACAAAGGGGATCCACAAATTCATTCAAGATATAATTACGGGGTGCCAGACATTATTCTGATTACTGAAAACAAAATGGTGAGCACAAGAGACACAGTCCCTATCCTCATGAAGCTTAAACTCTGATGCACTTTTTTTTTTTTAAGTAAGTGAGGTTGCTCTGAAACTAGATGGATGGGAGCCAGTATCTGAATTGAAATCTAAAGGATATTAACTGAGCAACCTAGGGAAGGAGAACGTGTTTTAGGGCAGACATCAGTCGGGTCCAGAGGTACCGAGAAAGGCTTTTCTTTAGAGCTCTGTGTGTGCCTGTTTCAGACACCAAAGGCTGAGACACCTAGAGTCACTGAGGGAACATTGTTAACACACATATACACACACAAACACACACACACAATTATCAGTAAAAATTAGGGCAAGGCTTGGAAGGGTTCCTGAAGCTTAAAACTGCCTTTGCTATTTTAGGAAAAAAAATTTTAGAAGTTGTGCTTCCTTTCATATTATTCTGGAGGGCAGAGTTTCAGATAGATGGTAGCACTAAATGAAGTTTCCTTTGTACTTCAGAAGTAAAAACAACAGATGAAAAATTTCTGAACTGTTGTATTCGTAATTTCCCCAAATCTCTCCTCCACAAAATTCATTTACAGCAATTCATTTCTTCTAATTAAGTTTCCTCTTTCACTGATCCATTTAGATCACTTTCCAAATGCTTTGCAAAGAAAAACTGCTCCCAATTCGCAGAATTCTCAGAAGCTTCCAATTCTTTTCAGAGCTTTCTCTCCAGGGCCCATGCTTTGGTTATTCCATCGAGCTATTCTACTCAATGGCCATCTATGAAAGGTAGATGGCTGTAAGATCATCTCATTTTTCTCTTACTTTGAGCCAAATGAGATGACCCAGCTTTCTGGGCCTGAGTGCTACTGGCCCAATGGTGGAGCCACATATCAGAGCTGGGTTGTTTTGTAAACACTCCGCAAGGTAAGCAAGTGAAGTGCTATTGACAATAGAAGGCAGCACTTTACTTCTTTGAAGGTTCCTGTTAGGTGAAAAGGAGGCATGAGATAAAACGGGTCTTTGATTATTAACTAGGGTTTCCAAAGCTTTAAGAATTATCTCGAAATAAAACTAAACAAACCAAGTATCTTGGAGAATACGTTCCCTTTTTTATTTTTTGGCATTCCCCACTTATTATTTCAGATCTCCTGGTCTAATATTATTCTACATTAAGCCCCTGATTTAAGTTTCATTTAAATCTCCTTCTTTTAAATACATATCTCTCCTCATTTAAATTCTCTAGAGTTTTAAGCAAAGAAGTAGGAGTTCAGTGTAAACTTTTCTTATTTGCATTAAGTAATTGGATAGCTTGCCTAAGCTTAATGAAACAAATACCAGGCAGCTCTGCCCTTATACCTCAAGCCCTAGCAACTTAGCTGTTTTTCTCAGTATATTCTCAATCAGGTGAGAGATTTAAGATACACCAGCAAAATGAATTTCTAAAAACCAGCCAAATCTCCTATAATGAATATTATTACATGTCCTTTTAAATGGAAAAAAAAAAAAAAACCCTCATATACATTCAGCTTTCATAGATACCTAAAATCCAGTCCTACATGTTTCTGTTTCTGTATAAAAACCAGCCAGTA